CTGGCGCGGAGGGAGAGGGCTGCCGGCTCCTCTCCGGGAGCCTGGCAACGGGTGGAGCCCGGTGTCCGCTGCGCCACCCCACCCCGGACCTCCCTCCCTCCGGGGCCATGGGCAGCCTCGGTGACCTCCTTCTCCCTAGAGGTGGGGGCCTGGGCTGGAAAGGAAAGGCGGGGTGGGGGGGGCGGGAGACTATCCCCTTTTCCTTCCCTTGGGGTCGTGGCTCAGCGGACCCAGACGGAGCTTGGGGTTGTGCTTAATGGCTTACAGGAGCAAGCAGAAACAGCAGCTTCCCTTCCTTTTGTGAGGGTCCCCCCCCCACTGAGCTACTGTTTCAGCCTCTCCTCCCCCCCACCCGCAGGAGAGGGGTGGGATCTCAACCCCTCCCGTCTCCGTCCAAGGGCTCTGATGGCTGCCTCCTTCCATCACATCTCTCAGGCACTGGCTAGATACCTGGGAGAGAGAAAGGCTAGATCGGCACCGTCTGTTTACTTCCAAGCAAGGCGGGGGGGGGGAGGGTCTCTGCCCCCTCCATTTCAGGGTGCCGATAGGGAGAAGGGGCAGTGGGGATCTGGCTGGGCCCCCTTAGCCATCCCTCTGTGAGGACGGTGCCAGGGGCATGATTCAGCTAAAGTCAAAAGCAGAGCCGGGCAGCTTTGGTGGATTTCAAAGGACCCATATCTGATATCTGGCCTCTTTGGTTTTGGACACAGCCAAGGGACCACTAGCCAGGCGCTCCAAAGGAGTAGCCAGGCGAGCAGAGGGTCGCAAAAGCTTTGGGAAGCCTTTTGTCGCTGGAAGGGCTAACGCGTTCCAGGGAATTGCTGTAAGCCTTCATAGGCTGCAGCCCCCTTCTCTGGACTCATGGAGTATAGAGCCAGCCCTGAGCAGGGCAGCTGAGGGTGGGACATTCTGGAGGTTGCCCATTCATGGGGTCGCCCTCTGAGGTGACTTGACAGCACATGGCAACAGTTCCAGATGGATATTGATACAGAGGTGGGGACTGGGGGGGGAGGAAGGTTACTTTACGGAGGGGCAACAGCAAACTAAGGCATATCTTTGCTTTGAGGGACTTAGCTGTCAGAGAGAAAACCGAGACCTGATAATGAAACGCTTCGGCATGTCTCTTGTTGACAATAGTGTGTGGGGAGGGAGGCAGCAGGGGGACGTGTCCCCAATCCTAATCCCGCAATATTGCTGGACAATTTGCAGGGTGGGTGGAGACCTTCCGTTGTGCTTGTAGTTGCTTCAAGGAGGTGAGCTTTGTGGGGTCTGTGATGTGGAGGAAGAGGTTAACCGAATCCTCTCCTGAGCATCAGAGTGCTTACAGAAATCCAGGGCGGGCACCTGCAGCAGTTCCTTGGCCTTACAATGAACAGGAGGTGATGCATCTCATCTGGAGGCTAATTGGCTCCTACATTTTGGCAATGGGGGAAACCATGAAGGGAGAGAAGAGGGAGAAATAGGCCTGTGTTTGTCCATCCATCCATCCATCCATCCATCCATCCATCCATCCATCCATGCCTTTTCCTTGTCTCTTATCCTTCTCCCAATTAAGGGACTCAAGAAGGCTTACAAAATAGTTAAAAAACAGGAGCAGTCAAAATACAAAGGATTAAATCCTGTTGCTTCATGCAATGAGTCACAACCAGAGTAGGCTCACTGAATGAGTGGGGTTTGGGGAGTCAACTCCTCTGTAATTTCCACTAATTCAATAGGCCTACTCTAATTGTGGCACACTATACTAAAACAACAGGATTTCGGCCTAGTTGTTGCACAGTTGGCAAGCAATTAAACATATGAGCCTATTAAAACAACTGTTGCATAACAAAAACTATCTAAAACTGTTTAAAAGCATGTTAGAAAAGGGATTTTTTTAAAAAAAGTTTCACTACATTATTTTTGAAACCTAACTTAATTACATTCCCAAGACTTGCAAAAACAGCTAGTTAGAAGTAGCTACATTTTTGTAACTAGTTACTTCCGAGCTTTGTTTCAGAGCAGATGCACTTGGGATCTGTCTGCCAACCTCGATTGTGTTATTAAACAGGGGGAACCTGTGGTCTGTTGATTACCACCCTCCGCTTCAAAAGCGAGCCCAGGGTAGAGGATGGCAAAGCAAATGAATGCAGTCCATAGCAGCA